AGTTAAAATTCGTCGCGCAAAGTGGTTAAGATTTGTCGAGCAAAATAGCTTTGAGCGATATTAGTATTCTGATCGGTTCATAATTGTATATCAGTTTGTACCCTTCTAGCTTATGATTTGGTTATGTTTTTGAGTTAAACTTGTGCTTTTAATCCTTTTTGTGTTTATCTTTCAGTTCATTGAGCTTTAGGTAATAATGAGGGCTTTGGATAGTAAATGATGCAATCCATGCATGTTATGGCCTAATTTGGATGAATGGATGAAGAGCTTAAAGACAAACTCTATTTTGGCTACAGTCCCCTGCCAGCCCAGTTTCTTAGGTCATATTGCAAGCTTTGTTTCAGCAACCTACACAACTTGGATGAGGCCGCATTCTTCATGAAAGTTGTTCCAATGGGTGTGTACTATAACATATCCAAACTTCGGCCCCATTGGATAAATCTGGAGTCCGTTACCTAGCAAACACAGGACCATGCTCAGGATGGATCTTATCAGCGCGGAATATGAGTTAGCAATTTGTTTTGGCCTTAACTTCTTCATCCGAGCTTGGATTGGGCCAATACTTGTGTGGTTGGATCATACACATTCTGAACTTCACAATGGACATCTTAAAGTCGTCATTTGCTTAAGTGAATCCCAATTTGTAAGCCCTTGAAGTTGCTGGTCATGCTGACCTCAGGATGAGCTATTGTTTCTGGTTGGAAGCTTGGTCATGGTGACATGAAGATGAGTTAGGGCTGCTGGTGGGATTTATTAGTGAAGTGCATCAACCATTTCAGATTTTATAAAATAAGTGTTGTATGCATTAGCCATATTGAATTCAGATTTTTCACTTCCCCTAGGCCTATAAATAGGGAAGTTCTCTATGCTTGTAAACACACCCCAAGGGGGGGAGCTCTCAAACATTTCTCTAGAGCTCCCTTCCCTTCTCTCCCTCAAGTTCTCTTAGTTTCATTTTCTAGTTTTCAATTGTTGTAATGAAATATTTGTGCTGAAATTCTCTTTAAGTCTTTCCAAGTTCTACTTTAATTTTCATTGTTATGTAAATTCTTTTCTTTAGTTTCAAGTTTGATTCGTTTCCAAGTTTCAATTATGATTTTTGTTCTTATTCATTATGCTTATGAGTTAATATGCTAGTTTGAATGATTGATCACTATTTAGGCTTGCATGTTAGCTATCTTGGTTTGAATTAAGAGTATACACCATGCTTTAATTCGAATTGAACTATGAATAGGAAGAGTATGTATGGACATTCGACAACAGGGATTAGATACATGCTTGGTTGTTTAAATTGTTCTTCTATGCTTAATGGGTTCCTAATGCTTAATTTTAGGTTAGACAACAAATGATCAAATTAGGGAATTAGGAACACAAGGTTATGACCACACACCATGGCTTAATCATACTTTAGCTAGAATCAATCCATTAATCTAATTGTACTTGGGAACTTATCTGCTTGAGTTAGTTATTTCTTTCTTCCTTGTTTTATTTATTTCCTTTCTTTTTCATTTCTGTTTTGTGTAGGGAAACTAAATTGGATCATTCAATCACCAATCCCTGTGGAATCGACCTCGCACTTACATACGCTAAACTACCAACGGTTCGTGCACTTGCGAGTATCACAAGTTGAGGATGCAGCTTAATCCATTTTGGTGCAGCGAAATCCACACAACATATTCGTCGCGCAAAGTTGTTATCGTTCGTTGCGCAAAGTAGCTATGCGCGACAAAGAATATTTTTCGTCGCGCAAACCCTTTCTCCACGATCTTTGTGTGACAGAACTTAATTGCGCGACCAAACTTATTTCGTCGCGTAAAGTGTTTTTTGTAGTAGTGAACATGATGGAAGCATAATGAAGCCATAACAACATGTGAAGCTTGTTGACGTGAGTTAACCTAACAAATCAAGGAGATTTATTTCCTAATTTAATTAGGTGATTTACTTCCTTGTTTCATATAGGTGACAATCATTGCATAATTAGGAGATATTCTCCTAATTAATTACTGTATATATTTTTACAAGCACACTTGTAAACTCCTATATATACCTCCTTATGGAGAAAAATACAATTAACCTAAAGTATTCAAACCATATTGATATTTCAGCATGGTATCAGAGCGGTCAATCCTAGGTCATCTCTACGCCCTCAAATCATATCCTCAAATTCAAATACAAACCCTAAATCAAATTCCTTAAATCAAACTCCTAAATTCTTGAATCAAATTCCTAAATCAAATTCCTTAAATCAAATTCCTCAAATCAAAATCCTAAATTCTCAAATCAAAACCCTTTATCAAATCCCTAATTCCAAACCCTTTCCCACAATTCCTACACACAAACTCAGATCAAATTATACTTCCGCTGCGATGTCAGCCCCACTGTCATTCTCTCCATCCTTGAAGACTCAAAGAAGCCTTCGGTCAGTCCTGATAAGTAGGCTACATTGGCTCATGCTTCTACACCACCAAAGGTTTTGCTTTCAATACCTCATCTCAAAAGCACACATGGATTATTGACTCAAGTGCAACGAATCACATGACATTTGATCCTGGCCAACTTCTTACTCGCAAACCATCCATGCAATCAGTGGTGTCTAATGCTAATGGTATCCCCTCTCCTGGCTCTCTATCTCTCTCTAACTCCATACAGATCCTAGATTATTAGTCAAGAACTCACCAACTGATGGTATTTTATATAATAAAAAATGTGGTCACTAAAAGAAATCGTGGCTGAAACTCTCTGCAGGAAGCATGCTTAAATACATAGAAGAGACTTCAACATAAATAAAGAATTACATTTAATTACTTGCGAACATTACAAACTTAATCATATGGTACAGGCTAAAGCGTCAATGTTTGCAAAAAGTTGCAAATAATTACATTGCATCCTTTATCTTTCTATCTCTGACTTGGTTAACTTTCATTTTCCCCTTTGATATTGTCTAGAACTCTCTATTAAACTTTGTATATGATATAAGTATGTTTTTGCTGAAAATTTGTTTTTTGCATTAAGTATTGACTTGAATTTTGAACTTCACTATGATATGTAAGTCGAATGACATGATATTTTGTGGGGTTGAGATTCTATATATCTATCCCAATCTCGGAAATTTTTGTGTGCATTGGCTATGATTTGTTGAGTGACTGGGTTAAATACCCTTTTGGTCACTAGATTTTACATGAAATTTCAATTCCCTTAGTAACCTGGCAAGCACTGGCAACTGTAAGCAGACTCATATTGATATTAATGTCCCAGTTAACATACCTGCTATAATATGCTTTTGGAGTGTGCTTGTTGATGTGTGCAATTTCATCGACATTGTAGTGGCTTTTGTTCTTTGATCTTTTCAGGTGCTGAAGTTTCATAGAAAATCTCCTATTTCCAGTTGGATATATTGTAATTATACTCTACATATACCAATGTTCTTCCATTTGGATAAGTGTAATTTGACAACGAATTTATCTTTCTAATATGTATGAAACTCTTTAGTTATTTTTTTAATGAAAACTCTACATTCTGTGTTGTATTTTTTTTTTTGGGGGTCAAATTCTCTGTGTTGTATTATGAATGTGAAGGAAATAGTTATGATTATCATGAAGCTTCAATCTTATGGACCAAAATCTTGGCTGAGGGGTACTCTCGTTATTGATATTGGTTGGTTGCTGCATGATACTTCAGATTCGGTCTATCCTTTGAGACATTCATTTTTGCTGATTTCTTTGAAGAAGTCAGGTTTCATCATGTTCTAAGGAAAGCAAACTTTGTTGCAGATGTTCTTGCATCGGTCATTCTGCCTAAGATTGTCGGATTTGGAGTGCTTCGCCACCTCCCTCCCTTGTTGGCTTTCAAATTCGACTGACGGGGCTTGGGTTGTAAGGGCTTACTTGTGGCGTATGCACCTCCCTGGTTGGGGACCTGGAGACAGAAGCAAAATGGTTTTCAGAAGCGGTTTTCCCCAATAACATTCAATCTAAAATAAACCGTCTGCAAACAAGAGCTTGCACAACTGTGCTAGTGCTAAGGCCTGGAGATTTCCTCCGCTCATTTTTTTCTGATTTATAAATTGTAACTCCACAACCTAAACTGCTGAAAAACCCCTAAACTCTCTCTGAAGGTGAAACTGTGAGCTTGCACTGCAGCTGCCGGCCCCTTCTGGGGGGTGGGTCCTCATCTCCCTTTCTCCTTTCCTAGTTTTCATTCTCTCTCCTCTTCTCTCCTCAGATTTGTTTGGATTTTAGGTCCTCTTGCCCAGATTTATCTGGATCTTGTCTTTTGTTTGTTTGTTTGTGTGTTTTCTGTTGTAGGTCCTTTGTGACTTTTGTTATTCTTAGATGTGTCTTGTTGTCGTTGAGATGGCTGCAGTGTGGTGTTGTCGACCCAGCTTTTTTCTTTGGTTTTTGTTGTGTTTTTTAGGTAAGTATTTCAATCCATCGTAGACACCATGATTTTTTTGTAGCTTTTGGTCCACTCACATAGATTTTGCTCCAGTTCAATGTTGGAGTTGGAAAAGTGATTGTTGCCAGTTTGTGTGGGATCGGGTTTTGCCTGTGCAAAATAAGAAGTTTAGCCATGTTGGTGCTCTGAGTCTTTTTAGTTTGCTGGAGAGGATGTGGTGTGGTGTCCTTATTTTGTGTTTATTTTAGTATAATAATTCTCATGAACTCAATAGGAGTTTGTTGATATTTGTATTTAGTGTTCAACTTTCGATGCGGATTTGCCGTTACTACCGTTGCACGGTGAATATGTATTGTAAGTCTGAGTACAGGTGCTTTTGTCTATCGAATTAGAGGTTTTAGATTTTTCTGACATGCGTAATTCTCTCCATATCAAACCAATTTATTTTTGTGTTTGGTCACTGAATATGTTGTACTCATATTTGGCATTGCAACTACTCTATACTTTTTTCTGTGTTATCAATAAAATTACTATCGCTTTTAATTAAAAAATAAATTTTTAAAAATTGTAACTGATGTCTACCTTTAACCACAACATCATGATAATTTAGGAAACAGTAAATATGATTTGTGATTTAAGGCACTTTGTATCCGTTACATTCATGAGAGTGACATAGAATCACTTCAAAATGAATGAATATCAAAATTATGTGTACAATTTGATTTATTTTAGCCGATGACGTAGGAAAACTAGCCTCCGAGAAATTGCTGGGCCACCCTTATGTAGAACTTTTAATATATGGGTCGTCCTTGTATTTGGAGAACAATGGAAGATCAAGAGCTTCCTCTGCAACTTTTCTGTCATGATGAATCTTCTCTATCAAGCTCTGGAGGGATGAGAAATTGGCCTGTTTATTTCATAAACGAACATTAGGAAAAATTGATAGGACAGGGAGGAGGAGGAGCAATTGGTATTTTCCAGAAGAGATTGATTAGTTTTGACTAATACCTCTGGCCGTATGTAGCCGACTATAATAAGACGCAGTTCCTCCCCATAGAAATCCCCATCAAAGTCATGAAGCAACCATGGCTCCTGCATTACAAATTAAATTCAACAGAGAAGAAAAATACTTGCAAATGCTACCTTATGTGTCTTGAAAAACTCACTATAGTCTTTTCAGTGTTGTTGAAATAAGGATTCCAACCAATACTCATGACCATTTTAAAGACACCTCGTTTAGATAAACCAGCCCAACCAAAATATACTCCTGAGGGATGTTCTGAAAGAAGAGATCCATATCCTTCTGTGGATAAATTAGCTGTAGAAAAGATGTAGCGCACTTATAAGTATAAAGAAACGAGGAAATGAAACAATTTAATTGAGCATAACAGGGAGAGAAACAACAAAACACAAGCAACAAACCAATAATTTCAAGCGAAGTCAAGCGAAGTCGGACCTAAGGAATGTAACTTGTATATAGCCAATATCAGGTGCATTCAAAAAATCGCCTACATATGAGATAAAACTAACCTCTATATATATTATCTAAACTAATAACAGCAGTCAATTATTGTTTCATCCAAAGACATGTGCAGTTGAATGAAGACTCTAACTGGATAGGCCGACAGCAACACACCTGTAGGGATCCCAAGTATTTTTGAGCCCCGACCGAATCCCTTAATGACAGGACCACCAATGTGCCAAGGTTCTATTGGTAAAGTATCTTTTATCCCTGCAACAACAAATCAAAGGTGCTAATGAAAAGGGCTTATGCAGAAGAAACTCTTCAAACGTAGTTGTAACAGAGACACAGGTACTGAGGTATACAATCTTGGAAAGGAGGTAGGCCCCACTTTTCAGGTTGCAAATCAAGTAGTGAGTTGATCACCTCATCCGCTGAAGTATAAAGATGGGATTGCTTTGGGATGGAGGGTACAGCAACCACCTCCATACCCGCAGCCTTTCCAGCTGTAACACCTGGTCTGACAAAACCAAAACAGAAGTGTTCCAAGGAAGAAATGTAAAGAAAAGCGACATGACTTCACAATACACACATTATAAGGAAGAAACACAGCATCTAATTATCGAAGGAAGAATTTTCGTGAAGAAGGGCACATCAATTATTTGTTTGCAGCTACTTGCCATCTAAAATGAAATTACTAATCTTAACTAGAAGCATCTGTTGTGATGGAAGGTACATTAAGGAAATAAAATTTAGAATGTGGGAGAGAAAATAGTGGGTATTAAGTAGGTTTAATTGATTTATTAACTTTAGTTTTTAAATTTAATACCAAACTTGTTCAGTGCGAAAGAGTTGTAACCGACTTTTTTTTTATTGGCCAAAAATGTAATATGACTTGTATTCCAATACAGCATGTGCCAACCTTATCAAAGTTAGTCTGAATCTAACTTGTTTGAGGATAGTATCTGTAGCAAAATTCCAGGTTTTCAATCAGGTTCATTCTTTTATTGAATAAGTTTTAGATGTAATGTAAACAAGGGTAGTTGAAGAAAACATAAACGAAAACCATAACACTAAAACGAGAATGTTCCCTGCAACAGTTTTTGCTCTGGCTACTTTAATAGAAGAACAAATTCAAAGAATCCGAGTAAGATACTTACAGAGAATCTTCAATGACAAGGCAGCTGGAAGGGTCAACATTAAGCCTTTTAGCAACTTCAAGGAATCTACAATGCAAAATCATATTTCAGGTTTTAGAATACCATATATATCTAATCCTTCATATAAAAAATTCAAATAAAAAAACACACTCAAAAAACACGTTTACGCATCTCACATTTCCGGAGAAGGCTTCCCCAATCTTACTTCATCACCGCCAATGATGACAGAAAAGGATTCCTTCCAGCCTGCATATGAAATACAATAAGCAAATAAGTGCTTGTTTGTATGATAAGAACGACTCATAATATCCTGAATGCATGCGATACTAGATAACTTTCCATGTAAGATGTAAGCAAATATGCTTCTGGAGAAGTATACCCTGATGAAAAGAAATTTTGGTTTCTATGTTTTCCCTTGGAGAGTTTGAAGCCATTGCCATTGACACTCTATGACCACTCAAATGTTTAATTAATCGATTGGCACCTGGAAGTGCTTTGATGTTGCACCACCTAGAATGACAATTGTAAATAGCCAATTAACAGTTTTCCACTAAAGTACTGCCTGAACACATAACAGTGAGTGAAAGATTTGTTCTCATTATCATATGGAAGCATGCTTAAAAACATATGATCTAAAACAAGCTCCATTTAGCCCAAAAAGAAAACGATCCAACATCCAAAATGACTAACATTTAGAAAAAGCAGAAAAGAAACACATTTAACAAAATTCTTTTATATATTGACCTTAACACCCATTGTATATTCCTCTCCTAAAAGCCAATAGTAATAAACAGGCAAAACAAACATTTGGTACTAGCATCAAAATGATTTTTTAACAGACACAAAAGCAAGTACAGTAGTTAATTACTGATTGGAGAACATGGGGGTAATCTCTGAAAGTAATTCACTCGTTGTGCAAGATAGCCCATAAGCTTCAACAACAGCACTTGCAGCTTCAAGTGGTGTTTTTCCAACTATTTTTTGAACTTCCCGTCCATCCCACTGCATTCCATACTTGCCCAAATAAACTCTTAAAACATCACTTACAATGCCATCTGTAATTAATTAAAATGATGAAGAAAAGGAGTCACTAACACCAATAGAAAGCAAAAGCTACTTCTAAAAATAAAAGTCACATCCAACTTTGGAAGAAAAAAGGAAGCATCAGCCCTTGTCACAAATCAAATAACATTAAGTTAAAAGCAAAATTGAAAATGCTACTCAGAGTGCAGACCTGTGTTAAGTAGTGTACCATCCAAATCGAGGATAACACAGGACGCTATTTTCTTCAAAGGTTGTGCAGTTGACATCTTAATCATGCATAAATCTCACAGTTCAGAATTACACTCCCACTGGTAAAATGCATCTGAAACAAAGACAGATTTATCAATCCAATGAATGAAATTTAATAACTGTTACAAATCAATTTAAGAAAATCTCAAAGTCAAAACAGAAATTGATCAATGAATTATTCATAACAATAATTGACCTTTTCCCACCTTATCTTAACCAAACACACACAACGTCCCTTCCCTTGCTTTGATTTGAACAAGTAAAAGCAGAATATTGTGGAATTAATTCTAGTAGAAATCACAGAGCCCAGAGCTTAAACTCTAAAAATAAAGATAGTTGGGACCTTACCCAGACAGAGGTGAACGAAGCCCAAACGTTCTGTGACAAAATGAAGAGTTTTATTTTTGTGAAGAGTGGCTGCGAGCGAGTGAGAGTGGGTGTGAGTTTTTGAGAAAGGAAAATACGAAAAGGAAAGGAGGAGGAAACTAGAATGTGGGTTTAAGTATTCCAAAGAATCTAATTCCCAATAGATACAATCCGAGTAGCAGATATTGTTCTTTAGGTTGTCCTTTCCTCGTTTGAAAAGGGACCCTTTCGCTGTCGTCGACGAACTGATTGCCGCTCGTTTTCTATTTATTTATTTATTATTTTTCAGTTTTCTTTATGGGTTAATTACTGTAGACGTCCTTGAATTATGGCCCCAGTTGCAATTGGGTCCGTGAATTAAATTTTGTGGCAATTTCATCCTTTAATTAGACAATAAGGTGCAATTAGGTCCTGCCGTCCAACTCTGTCACTTTGTCAGTCAAAATGAGGGGTAAAAACGTCCTTTCGAGTCTGAAGAAAAAAACTATAAAAAAATAAATAAATAAAAAAGGAAAAAAAGTCCCTCTCTCTTTCACTCTGTCTCTCCCTCTCTCTCACAACCAAGGTCTTAAATATCGGAGGTATCGGAAATATCGGAAGTCAAAAAACACGGAAATATTGCAGGAAATATCGGGATATTATCGGTATCGGAAAAAATTGAATAAAAACCACGGAAATTGTAAGAAAAACTTGGAAATTTTTATTGAAACTTTGCAGGATATTTATTTAGTCAATTATCTATTAGTTTATCACAAAAAATTGGAAGGAAATGCATTGCATGATGGATTTAACTGATTTAAGTTGATTATATAGCGAGCTGGCAAACACCGTAAGTGTAGAAAATATGTAATAATTAATGAAAGAAGATTAAACACACCATAATCATTTATATATAATGAATTACTACAATATTTTACACTTTATACATTGCATGGTAAGATACATGAGTGACTTAGTACCACATAGAGTTCCTATGAGGTTCAAAATTTTCACTATCTTCATCATCTCTATGTGTAGAGTAAGTATATTTTGAAGAGTAGTCATCAAATGATAAATCCCCAAAATAGTTTTGCATGTAATTGTTAACATGCCACCCATATGGATCCGAGATTGGTTGACGTTGTCCATAAGCAAAATCATTTGAAGATTGAGTCTCGGATTCTTTCCATGAGTCGCTTGATTCCATCCCAACAGGAATGGGATATGAAGGGTAGGGAAATGGTTGGTTATGAGTATAACCATAGTTACTACTCATCTCATGTGAAAATTTGTTTCTTGCAAAAAGAATTCAAAACAAAACCATGTATATATATAAATATTTTAGTATTTTAACAAAAACATAAGTGATATGGTGGTTAAGGTGTTGAAGGAGTAAAATGGTTTTCACAAATACCATGTATATAAATATTTTTGGGTTTCGTATCGGGATATTATCGATAATATCTCGATATATTGCCCAAATCATTCATAAAAATGTTGAAAATATCTTCCCGATATTATCGGGATAATATCGATATATTGACGATAACACTATGGTTAGTTGTTAAAATATCGGACCCTCAAAAATCAGATATTACTGGGATAATATCGGGGATATTATCGATATTTAATACCTTGCTCACAACCCATTTCCCCCTCCTTATCCCACCCCCCTCAAAACCCAGATCCCAACCCAACCTGCAATAGCAGCAGGCCGGGACTCGTCGAGGTCGCACTTGGTGGAACCCTCAACCCCACTCCCTGTCTCTCCCGAACTCAGAGCCTTTCAATTTTGAAAACATGTCCACGTTTGGCTGAAGACTTGACATGCTTCTGCTTCAGTTAATGCCTATAATCTAGGAGGTTGATTGTGTCTGAAACATAGAAAATATCTGTTTGAGTTTAGATGGGACCCCAATTTACCAGATGGATAATGAAACAGCCCCATCAACATTTCTTGGCTGTCCGGTTGAAAACAACCTCATCCCAGTATGTAGCATCAAGAGCCAGAGATCCCACGTTTGAGAAACTAATGGATAAGTACAAGAACCTTCTCAAAGTCATTGATGTACAAGATCTCATCCTAGCAAACCCCATCAACTCTGAATTATCCCTTGATTTTCTCTCTAGGCTCTCTCAAAAGCTCCATCTCAACCGTGGTGCAGTCTCCTTCCTCCGCAAATACCCTCACATTTTCCACAAGGGTCTTTTCTGCAGGCACAAGAATGGCTTCAACTTCCTCCAGTAATTGCTTCTTTTTCAGTTCCAAGGAACTCTGAGATTCCGCTTCTTTTCCAACAAAAACCACTTTGTTTTCAACAGAAGTAGACAGAGAAGCATCCACACCTTCCTTGCAGTCCAATTCAGTAACAGACTTCGTCTCTTGCATGAACTTTTCGATATCAGCAAAACCCACTTCACTTATCACAGAACCTTCACCTTTCTTGTCAACCAAATCCGAAACAACCCTTTCTTTCTCATCATCCGGGGTCTGTTCAGTCTCAGTTTTCACAAATTCGCTATCAGAAACAAGACCCATTTCACAAATTTCCATAAAATTTTGAGCAACTCCATCAGATACAGTTAAGCCAGAAATTAAACCGCAAGCTTCGGCCTTTCCGCTCACATAATTGGGCATTTCTTGAATTTCTTTAAGATGGGTCTCAGAGACTTGGCCGTGAGGTGAAAGCTTGACCTTATTAGAGGAATCAGAGACCGAAGAAGGAGGACTCTTGTCGGTGAAATCTGAGTCTTGTTTCAGCGGAGAAACGATCTCAGACAAGTGGCTATCTTGTTCTGGAATTGAAGCAGATGGAGAGTTAGAGTGTTTTGAAAGTTGGCAGGGAACTTGGGCTTCCTGATGATTTTGAGGATTCTGTAATATCCAGAAACTCCCATCTTTTTCAACTTTGTGATGCTCATGAGCCCAATACTCACAACTTGAAACTGTTTGATGTAATTCCTGACAAGTTTACTGCAGCAGTTGAGAACTGGAGGGTAGAGGAATATTGCAAGGAGGGTTGCAATGTTGATAGGGATGAAATTCAGTTTAGTTTTAAACATGGGTATCCTCCAGGGATGAGGTTAAGAAAGAATTTTAGGGCCAAGGTTAAGGAATGGCAGAGGTTGCCATATGTGGGCAGGGGTGCGGCCCTTGAGGAGTGGATCGGTGTCAAAGGAGGTGATGGTCTGGTGGGCGACGGCAACCATGAGGAAGGCAATGACAGTGTAGAGCTGCAAGTACCTGAGGCGATGATGATTGGAAGACGAAGACAAAGAGGAGGAAAGAGGGAAGGGGTGGTAGGGCTTGGCGGCGTACGACTGTGGGGACTTAAGGTGGACGGCAGGACCTAATTGAACCTTATTGTCTAATTAAAGGATTTCATTGCTTCAAAAATTAGTTCACAGACCCAATTGCAACTGGGGCCATAGTTCAAGGACGTCTACAGTAATTAACCCTAAATCTAAACGACGAAAAGTCGAAGATACCCCGAACAACAAGAGCACGTGACACTCACATGGTCAATCTCGACAGATTCAGTTACGGCAGGACCTAATTGCACCTTATTGTCTAATTAAAGGACGAAATTGCCACAAAATTTAGTTCACGGACCCAATTGCAACTGGGGCCATAGTTCACGGACATCTACAGTAATTAACCCTTTCTTTATTTATTCTTTACTTTTTTGTTGGATCAACTTTATTTATTCTTGAATTAACTACATTTTAATCCCTGGAAGTTTAGGGTCAGTGTCGAAATGGGCCCCTAAGTTTCAATTTCAACAATTTCATACCTTACATTTTAAAATATGACCAATTTACACTGGCAGTTACAATGACCATCAGGTTCAACGTTAAATTCTGACATGGCAGTTGTGGGACCCACCACAAAACCTATTTCTCTGTCTTCCTTGCATCTATATCTTCCCCTTCGACATTGCACAGTGACTGTTCGTCTTCCCAGCTACACAACACCTCCTTCCGGCCACCTTTGATTACAGGACCGGTAAGAAAATGACTGACTAACTAGGGGAGCAAGTATTGTTCTCGAAGCCCGGCCAAAAACTGACCAAAATTGGGTAAATCACGGCTAAAACAATCGGCCATTTTGGGGGTTTTAATTTGAACTCTCAATCATGAAATCGATCCAAACTACATATACCAATAGCAAGAACACGTGGAGTGGGGAAGATAGAGAAATAGGTTTTGTGGTGGGTCCCACAACTGCCACATCAGCATTTAACTATGATGGTCAATGTAACGGCCGGTGTAAATTGGTCATATTTTGAAATGTTAGGTATGAAATTGATGAAATTGAAACTTTGGGGCCCATTTACTGACCCTAAAGCTCCAGGGACTAAAATGTAGTTAATCCTTTTATTCTTTACTCAATTGCTAGGACACCAATGAAACTACGGTGAAGGGATCATTTATTTTAACCAAAGATGTAAGCTGACACTACCATTCTTAAAGAGTGACACTTGTCACATAGGTATGTATTTTTATTTTTTTATACAAATAATATTCTATTTTATTCTAATCTAAACTCTAAACATTAGTCTCTGAAAAGCATAACCACTAGAGTCAAAACTGTTCCTTGGGAAACCCTAGCCCCCTATCTCCCAAAAAACATTCTAAAGCTGTTTTCACTTTGAGGGGAGAGGAAGCCACTATTCTTCCTCCCCTCTCCCCTTCTTCCTTCCTCCCTTCTCCTTTCTTCCCCCATTTTCAAAAACAGAAGGTTTCCCTATTTGTCTTTGTTTTGTTATGATTTTCCTCCAATCATCATAAGCGGATACATATCGACGTCGGATCTCCACCTACGTTTCGATGTCAGATCTCTACCACCATCTTTCTTGCAGTTTCTTCATGTTTGGAATAAAGTCGTAGAGACTTTTTGGGTTTTCTGTGTAGTTTTCACCTCTCCATTGTGAGAGCTTTTCTTCTCTCTTCTGTGAGAGTTTTATTTGTAATAGTATGACTTAGTTTTTCCAAGCTTTATCTCATTTTGGTTGTTCTAAGTTTGCACTCTTAGTTCAGATGTCTATGCCAGAGTTTCTTCAATCTCGCGTGATCGTTAGTGGAGGAATCTTAATTTTGATATGAGATCGTTTTGTTATTGTAATAGCCATTTATGGCTAGTTTGTATTGGTCTTTTATGGCTAGTGGCTTTTTTGACTGAATTATGAATGTAATCCCAGAATTTCTCAACAACAAAAAAAATATCTAAACTATGAGAA